TGGACTCACATACACTATATTAAATTCAAATTGTCTGCAAGATGCTGATAGAACCAGGTGTGGTGTACGGATCTGTGAAGTCAGGAGAATAAAAAGTTCAAGGGCATCCTTGGCTACATAAACTAAGAAGCTTGGGATACATAGGAGGCTGTTTCAAAAACAAACAAATAAAAATGCTTTTAGTGATTTTTTTTTTTTTTTTTGGAAACAGTTTTATGTACCTCAAGATGGCCTTGAACTTGCTATAAGCAGAAACAGACCTCAAACTCCTGACCCTCTTGCCTTGAGGACTCAAGAGCGACAACACTCATTTCTCAAATGATTTCTATACTGTCCTTTAATTATGAATTTTTAAGATTTATTTATTTATTACAGCATTTTGCTTGCATGTGTGCCTGGGCACCAGATCTCACTATAGATGGTTGTGAGCCACCATGTGGTTGCTGGGAATTGAACTTAGGGCCTTTGGAAGAACAACCAGTGCTCTTAATCTCTGAGCCATTTCTCCAGCCCCAGTCCTTTTATTAAACTGAGTTTTTGTTGTGCACCCAGTTGGTGACTGTTGGAATAAGGTCCAGGAATGAAGCCATGTGATGAGAATTCTGACTGCTTGTGAGCACACTCCAAGAAAACAGGAGTTTTGGTGACCTCACTTTCTTCAAAACATGGAATGTGTTTTTGTGCTCCTCCCAGATGAAGCAGACAGGAGTGAGTTTACTTCAGATTATTCTTTATTGCTTGCTGTTGTTATTCAAATAAATATTTAACTATCTTTTATATGCCTCTATGGAAAAACACTGTTCCACACGTGACTTGTCCTGGTGATTGGATACAGCTTGAACGCATGACGACTTTACCCGTGTGACCTTTCTCAACCATCAGAGTATAAGTTGTCTGATGCTTTGAATGAAGTTGGCTATTGCATGAGACTTCAGTCTGCCTTATTTATCGGCTCCGTTCTCCCGGGTCCCACCACCTCTAGAGAGGTGACAGTGACATTCCTGGAGCTCTCCTTGGATCTATGGATTAAAGCATCTTTGCATAAGGCACCACTATGTCCCACAGATGCGTGTTTTCTGAAAATTTACATTTATCAAAACCGTAACTTCCCCTGTCACTTAGAGGCTAAAGAAATAAGGTTGTTGGTCTCACCACAACAGATCAGGATCTCCAAATTTCAGTATCTATCCTGGCAGCTTAACATTTAGCACTCATATCATACTGCCATGTTGATTATTATTTTTAAAAAAGATTTATTAGTGTTAATTTTCTGCATGTGAGTGCTTTGCTCGTATGTGTGTCTGTGCACCACAGGCATGCCTGCTGCCCACAGAGGTCAGAAGAGGGCATCTTCTGGAACTGGAGTTAGAGTTGTGAGCTGCTGTGTACCAAGCACTAGGAATTGAACTCAGGTCCTCTGCAAGAGCAGCAGGTACTCTTAACCACTGAGCAATCTCTCCAGTCCTGCAGTTTATTTCTGTGATGAGTGACTTTGTTGTTTCTATTCTTTTTTAGAGAGGCAGTAGCACGGAAAATAAAGCACTTTCATGAGCTTGTAAAGCTCTGTTACTGAACAGCTTATGGCGTTCTTGCACTTAGAAGTCGCTATGGTAATATCACACAGACATCCAATTCGTCGGGACAATTTGTCCTTTAACTATGGCAAGTGACTCTCTTTATGTGTGATAAATAAGGAACTTAAAAGTAGGCATTTCTAAATAGGAGATAGGATCTGACTTCACAGACATTTTCACCACTAGTGAGAATCCGGATTCCCAGAAAAGAAGCCACACCTGTGTGAAAGAGCCTACAAGGCCGACTGACTGACCAGGACTTCCCGGACTGTGGAAAGATAAAAGTTGCAAATTCGGAGACAAAATCATCTTGGGTAATCTTTAGTACCCCATCCCCTCTTCCTGCCATGAACTTGCAGTGACCTTTTTGCTTCTGCTTTCTGAGTTTTAGAATTACAGGCATGTACCACCTTGCCTGGCTCCTTGGCCTTCTTATATGAAGCTTTCTGCAAGCGCACTCCTAGTCTTCCACCAGCCCTGAAGCTCTTGTCAGCAGACAGCGTCTGAAAACTACAGCAGAGATCCCCACATAGCCATAAGCCACCTCTCTCCTGGTTCTACTGCTGTGTCAAATGCCTTGTTCTCATTCTTGACTGATGATTTGTTTTCGTTCTGTAACTATAAAGACTTCATGGAACCATTTCCACACTGGAACTCGCTATTTGGAGCAACCCCAATCCGTGCTGCGACGGCATGGCCACTCAATTAATCTCAACTATATAAAGCATCTCTTAAGTCCAGTTGAAGAGAAATCTGCTTTTTCAAGGACAGATAGAAGAAATTCCTCTCTAACAGTTACTGTGTCTCTACCCTCTGTTTAATTAAAACAAAAGAAAAATATTGTGTGTTGGTGAGAAGTGCTAGGAAGAAGAATTGCAAAATGCTTTGGGTGGTTAATGTGTGTTTTCTCTGAAAGGCTAGGGACCTCTATCGGCTCTGTTTTACCTCACAGTAAATGCAGGGTCCTTTGAGACAAATCCCCTGGCCATAATGATAGGATTAAAAGCCAGTTATTAGAGCTGAAGGAGTGGAAAAGGAAATGCAGTGAAACTCATAAAAACAATAAAGCACTTCAAAGCTGGTGCTGATCCAGCAGAGACCAGGCCACCAATGTGAGGGAGTGCTGATGTCAGGGTCAATAGACATGATCAAAGGGCCTCTGCAAGAAGCCGTCCTGCCTCCTGTCCCTCCGCTCATTCCCAACAAAATAAACCTGCTTTACAAATGATGACTGGGGCATCATGCTGGCTTCCAGAAAGACCCTGACTGGATGACTAGAACTGCAAATGAAGACCCTTCACGTCTGTAAACTCCAGAAAGAGTTTGTTCTCGAAGGAGGAGAGTGACAGGGTAGCGGTTTAGTCATAACTGAAAACAATGTGTTTATACTCAAAGAGAAAGCCCTGCAATCTTTACTCCTCTACTCTGTCCAAACATATATTCCCATGCTGCTGAGGAAAAAAATCAACAGTGATCTAGTTTTTCTCTGCAGGCTCAGAGAAAAGAGAACAAAACAAATCAGCTCTACTCTGGTTTAAAACAAAAGCAAAAAATAAAATAGAATAAATACAGAAATAAAATGTGGGCTGGTAAGACGGCTTAGGCATGGGGGTAAAAGTAGCTGCTGCCCATTCTGCCAACCTGAGTTTGACCCCTAAGACCCACACAGTGGAAGGAAAGAACAGAAGCACAGAAAGAACAACTTGTCCTTTGACTGGTACATACAAAGTACATATCCACTTTTCTGTGCAAATATATATGTTTGCATGCAGCTTCTCAACTGAAAAAGGAGCACTGAGCTGGGTAGTGCTGGCACACGTCTTTAATCGCATCACTTGAGAGGCAGAGGTGAGCTCGAGGCCAGTCTGGCCTACAGAGTGAGATCCAGCATAGCCATGGCTACACAGAGAAACCCTGTCTTGAAAAAACAAAAACAAACAAACAAGAAAACAAAAAGGGGCACTGCAGCAATGATATCTCGAAGGAGTAGAAATAATCCTTATTTTCAAGAAGTACCTTATAGTAGAAGGAAGTAGGTAGCTCCTTAAAGGAAAGGCCAGCAGGAATTTGGAATATTTCGTTTAGCAGAAAGCAAGGAAGCCTTCCTAGAAATATAGGGATAGTGGCTGAAGAGATGGTTCAGTAGATGAGAGTTAGTGTTGGGTAAACTTGAGGCCCTCAGTTCAAATAACAAGCACCCATGTCCAAAGACAGTAACCTGTGCCTGTACCCGCTGCACTGTGGGGTGTGGGCACGGGAGGGGGTCACTGGCACTTGCTGGGTGTCATGAGAAGACTGTCTCAATGGAATGAGGGTGTGTTATAGAGCAGAGCACCTGGTCTTCTCTTCTGGCCTTCCCCCGCACGTGTTCTTAAAGATATGGGCACCTTTTACTACACGCACACACGCACACATAATTATAAAGGTTCTTTACAAAAAATGCAGCTAATAAATATAGACTAATGATAAAGCTAGAAAGTCAAAAGCATCACTCAGAACCAATTCAGGCAAAAGCCACTGATGGAAGCTAAAACCACCAGAGAGGTATAGGCTCTCCAAGTGTTAGTTACAGTCACTTGCCACAGTTTTTTGGAAAGTAGCTGCTCACCACACAGGACCGATCACAGTTACCACTAGGGTCTGTCTTCTTTTATTAATAACTTTTGGTTGGTTTTGTTTTTGAGACAGGATTTTGCTATGTAGCTCAGATTGGCTAGATTTCTACATAGTCCAGGCTGGCCTTAACTTCACCATCTTCATGACTCAGCCCCAGTGAAAAGCTTTTCATTTTTCTAGTCAGCATTTCAATCTTTTCCTTTATTATGTGTGTATTTTGAGGCACACTTCTATCCTTCCCTATCTTCAAGGTCATAAAAACATTTTCTCTAGTAGTATCTTCTAAAGGTTAGATTCTATTCAGGTTGTTTTTCAAGAGAGCTGAGCATTAAATTCTGAAACGGTTAGAAAATATAAACTGGTACAGTAGCAAAATTAAGTTTTGCTTCTTCAAGCTTTTCAAGAACATAATAGAATTGTTATTTAAAATGATATGTAATAAGGTGCATTTTCCAGTTATTAAAAATGTAGAGAAAGGAGCTGGAGAGATGACTCAGTGGCAAAGTACTTGCTATGAAAGCACAAGGACCTTGGTCTGGGTGCCCGGCACCCAGGCAAAAGCTCAGTATGGTGGTACAAGCTCATAGCCTCTAGCACAGGAGACACGGTTCTCAAAGTGACAAGGGCAGATCCTGTTTCAACATGAAGTGAAAAGCAATAGAGGAAGGCATCGGATGTTGACCCTTCACACACACACACACACACACACACACACACACACACACACACACACAGTGGGGGTAAGGGGAGAGAGGGAAAACACAAATAACTGAGTAAAACAGCAGAAAAGGATGAGTCACGCTTGCTTACATGAGTGAACACGGCATCCTTGAGATCCTCACAACTGTCTCTTGGGGTCCATGCTTCAGCGAACTGCAGAAAACCCCACTTCTCCTTGTCATCTTCTGTAGCCTGGAGTTTCTCCTTCCTGCCATTCAGTGTGCTCCCTGTGACCTGAGCCTGTGGGGGAGAAACGATGAAGCTCTGACCACAGTCACCCCAAAGCTGACAATCTCTGATGAGTGCCTCGACTTTGCACTGAAGTCTTAAAGTTATCCACTGAGAAAAGTCTTAGTGCTTTACCAGATCATGGCTTTAGCAGTATGGTTACTTAAACGACCATTTTCAGTTTCCAACTGCCACCTGATGCAGTGGGCAGAGCGGGAAAGCTGGCCCTGCAGTGCTGGAAAGCACACCGTGGTGCTGCGGTGCAGCAGAGCTGGCCGTCCCCAAATCTACCCCAGGGAGGAACTGCTGGAGAGAGGGCCGGCCCTGCACAGCCAACACTGCAGGGTCTCTGTGACACGGGGCAGCAGTCCCGGCGAGGACCAGAAGCCAGAGGCCTCGCACCCGACCAGTGACACATCACAACGAACACTTGCAAGGAAAGCTGTGTGGACAAGAGGGTGTGCTGTGGGCCACAGTGTGACACACGGCAGCTCCCATGAGGACATGTCTTCTGTGCTTTGTTTCAGTTTTGTTTTGGAGGGGAGGTTGCAAGGGCAGAGGGCAGAGGGCACATACAAAGGGATGAGGAGATGAGTGGGACTGGGTGCATGACTTGAAACTCACAGAGGATCAATAAAAAAATTAAAGAAACACCCCAAAAAACAAATTATAGTGCAACTACCAACTGTTTAGGGAGATTTAACAGAAACATGATATGATATTCACTTTCCTCATGAATTTTTTGTTTTAATGTTTATGTACTTAAGACTTTTCCCTAAACATTCTATAATGTTTAGGTCATTCTATAATGACCACTCTTCAGAACTCACTGCAAAGAATGTTTCTCTGAGCCTCTCCCCATTTTGTTGCATTCTGTCCTCTTGGTGGTGACTTAGAGGGCAGCATCTTTGAGAACTGAGTAGGTCATGAAGGCGGGGCCCACTTCCATGGGATTAGTGGCAGAAAGCATTTCTATTTATTTTGATGGTATTTTGCTAAAGTAGCCCAAAGTTCTTATATAGAAATTGATGTCCAAAAGTACGGCTGCTGCCTGGGAGTGTGGGAGGGTTTACAAAGTGGGTGATGGCAGAGGCTGGAGCGTAAGTGTGCATGCTAGATAATTCCATAAAGGGAATGTTAAAGCTATTACAAGTCAACAAGGAGGGCGACAGAGAAAGATCTCTCTTCTTAAAGACACCCACACAATCATGAACTGAATGGCACTGGGAACAGAGACGTTTCAGATGACAGGGAGGAACATGCTATTGAACACTGGAGGAAAGGTCACTTTGGTCAAAAGCCAAGAACTTAACTGCATGGACAATGTCTTGTTACTTCTGAAAGAAAGAACTTGCAGGCAATGAGACCACATCTCACTGAGGTTTCTGAGGACATGCTGAAGGAGCAGCATGTTTCCTTTTGACTATCTGTGGTAAATGCAAGAAGAGAGAAATATAGACAGAATTGTGAAGCAAAAAGGTAACAATTTAAATTTGGGGAAATTCTGAGCTCATCAAGACTGAATGAACAAATGAGAAAAACTGTTTTGAAGAGAACACTGAGGTCTGTCTAAGTGGCCATTTGGTGTAACAGGTGGCATGGGCATGAACTGCAAACTTAACCAGTCAACTTAATAAGAGTGAGAAGCAGATAGGGCGGCATCAGCAGAAGCAGTGTCAGCTGGGAGGGAAGCAACCAGACAATACAACCGAGTAAGGGAAGCCTTCCGGAACTGCACAGACCTGAGCACAGCACTACTTGACTGGAATACAAAGAAAGGAAGAGAGGCTACAAAGGCAATTCAGGGAGCGCCAGGGTGCTGGGCAGGGTGGCAAGGTGCAGGATAGACTGTCCTCCATGGGATTTTAAACACCCATAGTGAGGGAGCTCTGGAGTTGTGATCTCCCTCCACCCTGACAGAACCTGAAAGCCGAGACAGGCGGAGCCACTGCAGACTGTGTGGCCAGTGCCTAGCTAAGACAGGCTGTCCCCGTCCCAGCGCATCTACCGGCAGGGCAGTTGGTGGCCTGGAGGACAGTACAGGGCCAGAGATGCCTTACTCAATTTACCCTGTGAGGTGTTAAGACTTCTAGGGACCAGTTCCTTTCCACTTTCCTTTTTCTGCCTCTTGGCATGAATGAGCATTCTAGACATCTCTCCCACAGTGGTAGTTTGGAAGCATATAAAGTAGTTGGTTTCTCAGATTCACAACTGGAGAGGAACTTCACCTCCAGATGAGTCTCATCCATATCCAACTTAGATAATATTTATATGAGATGTTGAGATGTTGGATAGAATGAATGAATGCATTTTGCATATGAGAAGCCCATGGATTTTATGGGCACAGATAATGGTTAGTTTTACAACTGGATGCAACCTAGAATCAGCTGGAAGCATCTTGATAAGGATTGCCTAGATCAGGTTGGCCTGTGGGCATGCATGTGAGGCTGTGTTTCTAACTGGGTGGTACTATTCGTGGGCTGGGCTCTGGATGGAGGAAAAGTGAAAAAAGGAGGTGAACAGTTAGCATGCATTCATTTCTCCCTGTTCTCGACTATGGATATGATTTCATTAGCTGCTTCATGCTCCTACCTTGCTTTCTCCTCAATGATTGGATGTTACCTGGAGTTAAAAGATGAATAAACCCTTTCTTCCCTAAGTTGCTTTTAGTGTTTTTTTTTGTTTTGTTTTAAATCAGGGCAACAAAAATGAAACTAGAAGACAGGGTAAAATGTAATAGACTAAAAATGTCTCTCCAAAATTCATATACTGAAACGCTAACAACTGATGTGATGGTATTAGGAGGTGGAGACTTTGTTAGTTATGGGGTGGAGCCATGACTGAAACCTCGGGATGAAAGAGTTTTTATTCGGCTTATCCTTTCACATCACTGTTCTTCATCAAAGAAAGTCAGGACAGGAAATCAAATAGGGCGGGAACCTGGAGGGCTGCTTACTGGCTTGCTCCTCGTGGTTTGCTTATCCTGTTCTTATAGAACCCAGGACCATGGGCATAGGAATGGAACCACCCACAATGGGCTGGGCCCTCCCCCAAAAATCACTAATTAAAAAAATGTCCTGTAGGCCTGCTACAGCCTGGTCTTATGAAAACATTTTTTCAAGTGAGGTTTCTTTTTCTCTGACACTCGCTTGTGCTGACATAAAGCTAGCCAGCACAAGACCTCACAAATGAGATCACTGCCCTTATAAAATGAGAAAATTTTCATTTTCTTTCAACCATATGAGGTTTCAACAGGAAGTCTTATCCAACTTGACCAGGCTGGCTCCCTGATGTCACTAACCATCCTCCAGAAACAGGTGGAATATGCTTCCATTTATCACTTACCACCCAGTGTATCGTATTTGTTACAGCATCCTCCTCTTAGTCAGGCCTCTTCTGTGAGCGTCCTTCAGTGTTGGGCAAAGGAGACGGCTCAGGAGAGGGCCCAGGCTACTCTCTGCTAACGTTACTTGCAAACTCAAGAATCTTTTGGAAAAGACTCAGTAGTCTCGTCTCAGTCACAGAAAAACAGACGTGGTGCTTCAAACGTTAGGTCTAGCTGCTCCTAGCCTCACTTCTAAAGCACTGGAGGCAGCTGTGAAAGCACCCGTGAAGCCTGTGTGAGCCACGTGCAAGGCCCTGAGTTCAACCTCAGCACTTGAGAAAATTAGGAGGAATAAAAAACAAAAAATAACCCCTAAACAAACAAACAAACGGAAAAGGGCTTCCACAATACCTAGAGATGTCAGAGGACCCAAGGTGGTTTCCTTGAACCCACAGCCCCTATAATTCCAGCTTCAGGGGACCTGATGCCTTTGTCTGGCCTCCATAGACCCCTTCACTCATGTGTACCTACCCCCACATGGATATACATACACCAAGGTAAAGATAAAGCTTGGATTTCCATGCATGGAAGCTGATGTCTTGGTGTGACAGGCCGGCAAGAAGTGAAGAGCGGAGACCTTAATGATCTGAGTCTCTATTAGTGTTATCGTGGCACACTTGAGCAGCCTTTGCTGGCACACATTAGAACTCAGCCTCCTGACTCACGCAGTGCGCGGACTGTAATGAAGACAGTGGAAACTCGAACACTACCTTTCGATTCAGCATTGCCCACATCAGGCTGTCCAGAGTGCCCTCTGCAATAAGGTAGTGGATATTCACAGAACTGCACTGTCCAATTCTGTGAGCGCGGTCTTCGGCTTGTTTGAGGTGGCCCGGGTCCCAATACAACTCAGCAAAGACGACGTGACTGGCCGCAGTAAATGTCAAGCCCTAAGCAAAACAAAGCAGAGTAACTGAGGCACGCACACGCTGAGCCGAGACGTGCTCGTGCAGGTGGTATGAGACTCACATGGCACAAAGCTTTCTTGAACACATTAAAAGGAGAGAAAATAAGTGTCAACTGGATAGCCTAGAGCCATCCGGGAAGGGAGTGGACAGTCGCGCTCAGGGCAGCCTGGCTGCGGGCATGCCTGTGGGGAACCATCTTGATTGCTAACTGATGTAACTGTGGCAGCAGCACTCCCTGGGCTTGTGGTCCTGCGCTCTGTGAGAAAGCCAGCTGAGCATGAGTGACAAAAGAAGCGAACAGTGTGCCTGCTTCCAGTCCCGCTGGAGTTCCTGGCCTGGCTTCCCTCGGGTATGGACCATAACCTGTAAGCTGAAATAAATCCTTCCCCCCCCCCCCAAAATTGCTTCTGGTTAAAGTGTTTTTACCACACCAACAGAGATGAAACTAGAACACCAAAAAATTAAAAAAAAAGTAAGTCATGCACCTTAAGACAAATAAGGAAGATTAAACTTATCAACAGCAAGCGAAGACTACTTATTCCAAGACATACAAGTGAACTACAAGAGAACATATTTGAAAGACATTTCAGTAGGCAGGCTGATGGGAACTGTACATACAAACAAAACCACCTTATCCTCTGGTGATGAGTTAGACTCACTTTACTGCTGGAAAACCTAACAAAATACATTATGAAAAGAGAATATAATTTGTAACACATGGTATCCATGGCAACTAGGCAGCAAGCACTGACATGTTCTTCATTTCATTCCAACCACTATGCTGCAGCGTGAGACAACGTGTCTCTTGGCATGCGATTTCCTCCTGCAAAATCTCCCAGGGGTAACTCCAAGCCCTGAAGTGTACTGCTTCTCATCTCTGTGTCAGACCGCTGCTGCATTCTCTGCACACCTGGCTTTTGCACGAACCTGAAACACTGTGGCAGCAAAGTGTTAAGTCTTGTTTTATAGCCAACACATGAAATAAGGCAAACTGCGCAGATGAGAATGTGTCAAGATGCATCAGTTCCAAGACCAGGCTGAGTGAACTTTGAGTGCATGACTATGGCCACAATGGTGTGGAAGCGGGTGAGCTCAGCTTGCCTTAGGAATACGGTTTTCCCCATGTTGTTCACAGACACTTGAGCTTCTGTGAGGGAGGCATTTTTGAGACTGTTACACTATTATTTTTACTTTACTTAAAATTTTTTGAGTTATAACTAAATCATATGATCATTCATTAAATAGGGAAACAAATTCCTTTTAAATTAGTCACTTCATAAAATGGGTCAGGAGTAATGAAAAACAGTATAAAACTAAACAAAATATTAAAGCTGAGTTGTTATTTATGACACCAAAGCCATATTAAGAGCAATACTGAAAAAAAACAAGTAGTATTATCAGATGGCCACTGCTAAGCTTGTAAAAAGCATATGACCAGGAGCCAGGAAATGCTTGCCTGCAAACATCGGGACCTGAGTTCTTGTCCCCGTGTAGAAAGCTGAGTGTGACGGTGTGTGCTTGCAGTTCTAGTGCTCAGGAGGTGGGGCTGGACAGCTTCCGGGGGACCTACTGCCAGTCAGCATAGCTCTCAAATCCACACGAAACACCAAAAAAACAAAACAGATGTATGTGCTGGGTGGTGGTGGTGGCGCATGCCTGTAATCCCAGCATTCAGGAGGCAGAGGAAGGTGGATCTCTGTGAGTTCGAGGCTAGCCTGGTCTAAAGAGTGAGTTTCAGGACAGCCATGGCTACACAGAGAAACCCTGTCTCAAAAAACCAAAAACCAAACCAAACCAAACTGAAACAAAACAAAACAAAATCCAAGGTACAAAAAGCCCTCCAATGGTGGTGCACACTTTTAATCTCAGCACTCAGTGGGTAGAGGCAGGCAGAAGTCTGAGGGCTCAAGGCCAGCCTGCTCTACATAGTGAGTTCCAGGACAGAAAGGGCTACAAAGAGAGACGCAAACCTCCACAAACAAACAAACAAACAAACCAACCAACCAACCAAGTACCAAACAAACAAAGTAGATAATTCTGGAGTTATAATCCCTGGCCCCTGAGATCCACGTTTGGCCTCCACATGTATGTGTACACACACACACACACAAGCATGAGTGTGCACACATCACCATGCTCACAAGATCACCATCACTCTAAGGAATAGACAATCTACAATATGGGATGTCACCTAGAACAAAGCCCTCCCTTCTCTTTTTTGTCCTTATGAGATCAGTTGTCACGTATATAAGTGCTGATTTATGTAAGAGCTTCAGGAACACAAAGTTGAATAAAATATGAGTGCCGTGTACATTCTTCATTTCAAGATGTCATTTATTTTTAATTACATTTTAAGCTTATAATAGCCCTGGCTCTCCTGCCTGGTTTCATCTTATTTATCCCCTGACAGAAGCACTCACTCATGTCTAATTTTAGGTTCTTGGTAATAGCATCTGTGGCTGGAATACTCTAACCGATACATAGTCAGATTGTAGGGACTTCAATCAAACATGAAGGAAGTCCTTAGACAACTCCTAGGCTTACCATGACACCTGTCTATCAGCGGGCAGGCTGGACTGTGATGGTTTGACTACCAATGGGCCCCACAGCTTATGTATTTGAATACTTGGGCCTTCCCTGGTGGAGCGGTTTGGAAAGGTTAGGAGGTGTGGCCTTTTTGGAGGAGGTGTGTCACTGGGGCAGGCTTTGAAGTTTCAGAAAGCCAAGCCATTCCCAGTTAGGCTCTGTCTTGTGCGTCAAGATGGAAGCTCCTGGCTGCTGGTACCACAGCCCCATGCCTGCCTGTGCTTACTGTGCTCCCGGCCATGATGGGTAGGACTCTAACCCTCCGGAACCATAAGCCCCAAAGTACATCCCCACTTTTAAATTTTATAGATTGTCTTGGTCCTTTGAAGGAGGAATGTGAGCTGCTTCCCCTGGATAAAAGATTTTAGCTTGGAGGCCAGGTGTGGTGGTGCATGATTTTAATTCTAGTGCTTGGGAGGCAGAAGCAGGTGAATCTGACAGCCTGGTCTACAAAGTGAATTCCAAGACGGCCAGGGCTGTTACACAAAGAAATAAAAGGCAAAATTCTGGAAGAAACCAGATGTAGTGGTGCATGCCTTTAATCCCAGCACTCTGAGAGGCAGAAGCAGGCAGATCTCTGTGAGCCCAAGGCCAGCCTAGTCTACAAAGTGAGTTCCAGGTGTGCCCGAGATGACAAAGTGAAACCTCATTTCAAAAACAAGCAGACAAACAAAACAAAGGGCCAGAAGGGATGTGGTCCTAAGAACATCGTGGGGGCTATTCCTGTGCAGTGAAAGAGTCCACATGAGAAAACACTCATTCACTAACTGCGTGTGCATGCACAGAGGTCAGGACGGCCTGGGTCACTTTGGCTTGAGTGGCCACTGGTAGAATGTCTATCCACAATGGCTGACTCCACACCCATGCTCATGGGTAGTGCTAACTGAACTCAATGGGTTATTTGGGGGGTAGGGGGGTGGGAGAAATGAAGTTAGGAGAGAGATATGTTGGAGGAGGGTGAGGGGAGCAGAAGAAAGCGGGTATGGGGCAGACATGACTAAGATACCTATAAACATGTATGAAAATTTCAAAGAATAAAAGTAAGAGGCCGACTTCTATTATATTTTCTAGCACTCTTAAGTACAATGAATACTACAATAGACATCCAGATATACAATTATAATTTTATAAATCAAAGTTGGAATTAATGGACTTTTTGTAATATCCACGCCATTTTGTTATCAAACAGGACCCGTACCTGGCCAGCAGCCTGAATGCTCAGGATAGCCACCCGGGTATTGGGATCCTTCTGAAACTGATTCACCAGATGAATCCTTTCTGAAGACGGCACACTTCCATCTATCCTGATGTAACGAGCCTAGCATCAACAAGGGAAATTAGCGAAATTAGACATGCCCTATGCAGCCTTATTTTATACCTACCTTAATAGTCATATGAAGATGCAAACTGGTTAAAATGGTATATCAGCAATGTTATACAGTAAGAATCTTAACAAAATATAACAATTTCTTACTTAAAATTTTTATTACACATATTACTGTGGTGTGTGTGTTGTGTGTGTGTGTGTGAGAGAGAGAGAGCTCACAAGCATGAATGCCATGATACATATATGGAGGTAAAGGACAACTTACACCTTTCACCATGTAGGTTTCAGAGACTGAACTCAGGTTATTAGGTTTGGTGACAAGAGACTGTACAACCATTTTGCCCAGCGCTTTAATTTCTGACTTTTAAGCTGCTTGAAGATAGGCTCTGTGTTTAATGCATCTTAATACCACTATGGTGGCTCGAGTGAGAATGGTCCCCATAGGCTCCTGTTTGAATGCTTGGTCCCAGTTGGTGGAGCTGTCTGGGAAGGGTTGGGGGGTGCTGGCATGTTGGAGGTGTGTGACTGAGGGTGGGTTTGGAGGTTTCAGAGCCTATGCCATTCCTAGCTAGCTCTCTCCCTGCCTTGTTGCCTCAACATCTAGTCTCTTGGCTGCTGCTCCAGCACCATGCCTGCCGCCATGCTCCTTGTCAGGATGGTCATGGACTCACCTCTGACATTGTAAGCCCAATAACCTCTTCCTCCTATAAGTTAAGTTGCTTTGGTCATGGTATCTTTACACAGCAACAGAAAAGTAACTTAGACAACCACCAACGCCAAGGGTAATTGCTTTTATGCAACAGGAGCTCTATGAATATTTTTAAAATTAAGCAAATGTTTCTTCAGTAACATTCTATGCAAGTTAAAACACAACCTTTAGGCAGCAGGTAAGAGGAACTTTAGGGGGCTGGAGAGATGGCTCAGTGATTAATAGCACTGTCTGTTCTTCCAAAGGGCATGGATTCAATTCCCAGCACCAAACGGCAGCTTACAACTGTCTGTAACTCCAGTTCCAAGGGATCTGATACCCTTACATGCACATAAAATAAAAATAAATTATTTAAAAAGAGTAATTTTAGGGTTACAGGACCAGTTTACTCCAGAGTAAAACCAGAGCCAGATGAGAGAGAAGGAGAGATTTTGCTCGGACGTTAGGGAGGCATAGAGAGATACAACCAAATATTAACAGGGAAAGTACACTCTAAATCTACTACTCGTGACCTCTGATCTCACAGTATTAAACCTAAAGGAGCTGTGTGAGATGACTGTGTCCACTGAATTGAGGACCTATGACGCCCACACACACCTTTAAAGAATGGAACCTCATTAAGTGTTAAACTGAACAGACTGCCTTCAAGAACAATTTAAGCTGTGAAAAAAGAGCCGTGTGTTAGAAATAGCTAAAAAGAACGGAATCAACCTAATAAAAATAAGTTAAGCCCTAAATTTCAAATCAAATATGAAAGATTCTATGAAAAAAATCACCTAAAAGTTAAAAAATAAGAATATTTACTTTAAAAAAGAGACTATCCATCTAAAGTAACCATTACAGCATCGCCAAATGATTTTGTTCTTTCTTTTTAAAATTAGTTATTTTTTTATTAATTATGGTTTATTCACTTTGTATCCCAGGTGTAGGTCCCACCCTCTTCCCCTCCCAATCCCACCCTCCCTTCCTCTTTCCCATGCCCTTCCCCAGTCCACTGATAGTGGAGGACCCTCCTCCCCTTCCCTCTGACCCTAGCCTATCAGGTTTCATCAGGACTGGCTGCATTGTCTTCCTCTGTGGCCTTGTAAGGCTGCTCCCCCCTTAGCTCCCTGATCAAAGAGCCAGTCACTGAGTTCATGTCAGAGACAGGCCCCCCCTTATTAGGGAACCCACTTGGATACTGAGCTGCCATAGGCTACATCTGTGCAGGGGTTCTAGGTTATCTCCATGCATGGTCCTTGGTTGGAGTATTGGTCTCAGAAAGACCCCTGTGCCCAGATTTCTTTTTTTTTTTCCTCTCCTTGTGGAGCTCCTGTGCTGGAACTCCCTTTGTAGACCAGGCTGGCCTCAAACTCACAGGGATCTGCCTGCCTCTGCCTCCCTGAGTGCTGGGATTAAACGCATGCACCATCACCACCTGGTGAACAGAGGAAAAATTTTAACATTGATATAAAGAAGAAAAGAGTATGCCATGGTAACAATATATTATTAAAAATCATAAGAAAATACTTTATAAATTGTGGGTAAAATTATGCATTAAAAAACATAATCCAGGGCTGGAGTGATGGCTCAGAGGTTAAGAATATTTGCTGTTCTTCCAAAAAGTCCTGAGTTCAATTCCCAGCAACCACAAGGTGGCTCATAACCATCTATAGTAAGATTTGGTGTACAGGTAGAATGTTGTATAAGTAATAAATAACTCCTTAAAAAAAAAAAAAAACATAATCCAAAACAGGTTACAAAAAACCCACGTAGATCACGAGAGTAAAAGTGATATTTAGTAGAGTGGAGATAGGCAGTATTGCAGTACCTTGTTTTCGATGACTGCTTCCGTGCAAGCTTGGAGCATACTTAAATGGTGAGCAAAGACCAGAAACTTAAGCGACTCATTCTGAAGCAGCATCTTAATGTAGTCCTTCACTGCACCTGCCTAAGGATCAAAGTCAAAGTTTATTAACATCACCCACATGTTTATCCAAGCGCTATACCACTTTTAAGAAAGGGGAAGAAGCTCCCAACACGCCCAGCCATCTTCAGAACTTTGGCTGCTTTTTCTCTTGGTAGCCTGTTCACTCAGGACTCCCACGAATACGGGGTGTGTGGAAAAGCTGAGTATGTCCACTGCTGTTTGTTTGATCAGGGTTTTTTTGTTTTTTTCTAATTGCTGTGACAAAACACCGAAGGCAAACCAGTTAAAAGCATGGAAAACTCATTTTGGTGGCAAGTTTCTCTTAACTGCTGGCCAGTTCCGAGTCCTGGGGAGGCAGAGTGTCAAACAGGCAATCTATAGTGGAGGACTCTACTCATCTCTACTCAGCAAGGAGTGACACAAGATGCACAGCTTTTCAGAGTGCCGCATCTTCCAACTAGCTCTAACCACTCCACATCACTTCCCAAAGACGCCACCAAATCTCCAATCTCCGAGTGAACTCAGCCCCGGATGAGATCAGCACTCTTCTGACCTAATCACCTCCTCTATGCCAGTAGTTAGCAAGAAAGCCTGGAGCAGAGGGGCCCTGGGGCCACTTCAGACAGAAACAACAATGCAGGTGGGATACAGGACAGGAGAGGAAAGAAATGAGGTATGGGCAAGAGAAGAATGGTACCACTGTTGAGAAGATAGATCTTAAAACAGTTTTACACAATTAAAAAGGGTTAAGAAAAAAGTGGAAGAAAGACGGGCTGAGGTTTAAGGTTCACTTTCTTCTGAAATTGAGATGGTGCAGTGGACTTAGGGAAAGGCAGGCGCGGAAGTACAAGGCGGCCAGGAGAGGTGGGAATTAGTTGTCTCTACGATGCAGGAGTGCACTGGCTAATTTTATATGTCAACTTGATACAAGCTAGAGTCATTTGGAGAGGGAGACTCTCAACTGAGAAAATGTCTCCATAACACTGGCCTGGAGACAAGTCTGTAGAGCATCTTCTTGGTTAATGATTAATGGAGGAGGCCCAGCCCACTGTGGGCAGTACCGTCCCTGGGCTGATGGTCCTGGGTTCTGTAAGAAAGCAGGCTGAGCAAGCCAGTAAGCAGCCCCCTCTGCACTGGCTCCTGCCTCCAGGTTCAGGTTCCGGCCCTGACATCCCTGGACGGTGGACTTACAAGCTGTAAGGGGAAATAAACCTTTTCCTGTCCAAGAGGTGTTTGGTCACGGTGTTTTATCAAAGCAACAGAAATCATAATAAAACAAGAAGGTTTTGGAAGAACCTGAAGTGACAGGCTCAAGAGCACAAGAGGGAAGGTCTAAGATAACAGAATGAAATGGAGAAATTCATGAAGAAGGAATAATCATAAAAATTAACACTGAATGGGCATTCTTAGCTAAAGTCTTTCCAAGTTATACAGAAAGAGTAAGAGATAAATATGGGATGACTTAAATTTAAAAACATAAATGTACTATCTTTTAATTATTATTAGTTACTGGGTAATTATGGTGGTATATGCCTGCAATTCCACAAGACTGAGCCAGGGATATTACAAGTTTAAGATGAGCCTGGGCTACACAGTGAGTTCCAGGCTAGCCTGAGCTCCAAAAATGAAAAACATAGAGGGCGTGGAGCTGGAAAAGTGGTTTAGTGGTTAAAAGTGTTTGCTGCTCTTCCAGAGACCCAAGTTCAGTTTCCAGCTCCTATACTGGAGCTGTAACTTCTGTAACTTCCTGTAACTCCAAGAGTTAGCGTCCTCTTATGTCCCCTGCGAGCACCTAAATGCATGTGCGCATATACACACAAATGCTTCTACACAAGCTATACACATATAAAATGAAAACAAAGGTTTTCATAAACAACACAAATTTGTTTACTTAGAAATTCTGGGTAAAGATGGCAGGCTCAACTCACTCAACCTGTATTCCTCTTAGTCTCAGAATAGCAAAGGACATAGGCACAAAAGCCAAAAGCAGAACCTCTGGAAGCTAAAAAGTACATGATGCCTGATTCTCCATTCTGAGAGATCCTAAGCTGGCAATACGGAATGGACAGGAAGTCAGTGTTTCCACTGAAGTCATGTTAAAAGCCCCGGAGGGAGAGGGTGAGGGGAGCTAGCACAGGAACAAGCTCAGGGAATGTGGGAGTAGAGGGGTGTGCTCAGGCCTGTGCCTCATCCTGTCTGAAGGTTCCACCCCACAGGCACAGACTCACCCATCCTGCCCAGACTGCAGGCATGTTCTTCGCATGTAAGGCAGAGCTTGTTTGGGTAAGTGGGACCCTGGACTGAGGGCAAGCAGTATGATGTGAAGGCATGCTTAAAGAGATGCACACAGCATATAATCCACACTGCGACAGTGGCGGGGGCAGGGCCTAAAGACAGGTGTGTAGGTTATGAGGGCACTACACTCATGAATGAATGAATGGATGCTGCTTAAGAAAAGGCTGGAAACTGCAAGCCATCTTTTATTCACTCTATTCTCTTGCTCTTTGTCTTCTGCCATTCGATAAAGCAGCAAAAAGGACATCATCAGATGCTAGTACCTTGATATTGGTTTATCCAGCCTCCAGAATTATGAGCTAAATAAACTTACATTGTTTATAAATGTGCTAGCCTCAAGTATTCTGTTACAGATGCAAACAATGGAATCAGGGAAGTGGTCATAATGCATAAGTATCATAAAGATTAAAAAAAGTTTTATTACTAAATACTGAAGGGCTGGGTATATAGTTCAGTAATAAAGCACAGACTTGCCTAGTGTGCGTAACTTCTAGTTTTGATATCTAGGAAGAAATAAATGAAGAAAAGGAGAGAGGGAGAAGGGAGGGAATGAATGAAGATAGAAGGGAAGAAGAGCAGGGGAGGAAGAAGAGGAAGAGGAAGAGAAGGAGGAAAAAGGATAAAGTAGGAAGAAGAGGGAAAGAAAGAGTAAAATGGGAAGGAGGGAAAGGAAAGAGAAGAGGAGGGGGAAGAGAAGGAGGAGAGGGGAAGAAGGAGAAAAAAGGAGGAAGGAGAAAGGGAAAGAAGAGAATGAGAAAGCAAAGGGAAGGCATAAAAAAATGAGGAGGGAAGGAGAAACAGGATGATGACAATTTTGAAAGTTAATAACTCCAAAGAAAATGAAGTGAATTCTAGAGAAAAGAAAACTTGACATTTGAGGACAAAGACACAATTAAACACAAACAAGACATTCTGGTGTTTACACAGCCAGTGGCTGTGGACACCAGCTAGAGCTAGAAGAAAGAACTTTAAATGTTTTCACCATAAAAAAGTCAAACAACGCACTGCATGTTCACCCTGATCTAAACATACATAATTATTAATACATCAGATGGCATAAAAAAATAACCAACAGTATAGCCCATGGTTCACCAGTATTTCAAACATGGGTCTAATAACATATGTAGTGAATACTGATCAGGCCAAAATTGCATTATTTTAAAAATTAGTAAAATTATGTCACTTGAATAGAAGAATGGAAATAAGACAGATATGTATCTGCGGAGGGGGAGGCAAAGATACAAAAAGGTAAAATTTTATCTTACCAATTGACAAATCAGTTGTTATAGCTGAAGCTACAATACAAGCAGCAATGTAGACTAAGGTGTTTTAAAAGCATAGTGATGAAATTTGAGTGAATTAAAATAAAACAAAGAACAACACTCAGCTGTTACAAGAACTGACAGTGGCTGCTCCTGGGGAATAAACTTAAGAGCTATTTTTCAGAGTGACTGTTTTTGGTTGTTAACATAGCTTTAGCAATTTTTTAGATTAAAAATTTAAAATACCTATCTAAAATTCATCTGCATTAGCTGCAAAGCCTCAAGGTTTATTCTGCAAGCTGTATTTTGCATGTCTAAATTTTCTGAACAATGGAATTCATCATATAGTGAGCCTGGAGGCTGGCAGGAACTTTAGCCTTGGATGTCGGTGCCTCAGAAAGTGGAAATGAAGTTCTCTCAAAACAAGCCGCTATAAACTGCAGTTGCTGTCATGGCAACTGAAGCACTTTAATAAAGTGCATGTTTGCCTAAAGAGCTATATTTACCAGGATGAGCTTTTCAGTAAGTACATGTCAAGTTGGAATGCTTAAAGGGTACATTCATGACAACCCGAATCTAGACTTACAACTGGAACAATTGCTGTAACCTGCTTTCATGTGCCTTCTTCCCGAGTGAGCCATTCCACCCTCCTGTCATTAGCTACCCCTCATCAGGACCAGAGCTGCTGAGAGAAAGCCCAAGCTCTCTCAAACCACTGCTTTTAAAAGCCTGATGGCTGAGGGCTGGGGTATGGCTTAGTGGGGAAGAGCCTTGCTACACAGGAATGAGGAGCTGAATCAAACTCCCAGTACCACCTCAAAGCTGAGCAAGGCTGTGCACGCCTGTAACTCCATTTTGGGGGAGCAAAGACAGGCAGGACTCCAGGAGCTTGCTGGCCAGGCTGCTTAGCTAAGATGGGGAGCCTCCAGTTCAGTGACAGACCCAGTCTCAAGGGAATATGCTGGAAAACAACAGAGAAAAACACTCGATTCCTTTCTTTAGCCTCTTAACCCATGCACATGTGTGCGCCCATCTGCACACATGTGCACACACACACAACATACATACATACATAAAAAAGTAAATGGCCAAAATGCTGAGAAAAAGTGTCAGTCCTTAGCCACAGATGGTACCTGCATTCCAGCCTTCCCGTTCCCACCCAAGCCTGAGGCTCAGGGAACATCTCAGAAGAGGTGCAGCAGAAAGAAGAAAATGCTATGAAAATGCGGTTCTGCAGACATGGCATGGCTCTGGCACACATGAATTCACCACAGCTGTGGTTACCTGTGTAAGACCAGGCTAGTCCCAGCTCCAGCGAGGATGAGGGAGGAACACCTGAGGCTCCACCTAGTGAGGCTCTGCTGGCAGCTGATGGCTCTGGGGAGAGGGGGAGCTACTTTTCTTTGAGACTGTGGCTGCTAACGGTTGCCCACGCCCTAGTGGGCACCTCCATACCTAGGAGCA